ATAATTAAAGAGACTGAACCAGGGGTAGGAAAAGGCGGGAATAGGGGAAGGGGGGAGGGAAAGATAGAATATTGTGTATTTTTATTGGTATGGTTTTATACATAATCACAATACTATTTGATCATTATTATTTCTAATTTATATTTCTGTAAAGAGAAATTAAGTAAAAAACTGAATTCCAACTTCCAAAAAATAGTCTCAAATCGGGTTCAGATTTAACTATGTAAACATTTAACCCTATATGATGTCTCCACTGCCTAAACACCCTGTGGGAGGGGCTGAGGGGGAAGTAGGTGATAAGGATCCCCCCCCTGTATGCCTCTAATAGGGTATTGGGACACTACTAATCCACGATGGACTAGGCCAGTTGGGTCGGTCAAATAGGCCTAGGATTAGGCCGGGTACTGTAAAAAGTCTGAACGCGCCATGGGAGTTGTCATAGTTAGCCCTCGCACGGGACTATGCCAAGTAAATTGACCCCCGTCGTATGTTAGTCTGGTTAGGGCGACGTACTTGTACCATAGGATCGGGTCAGTACACTCTGTTATCTGGCAGGCCGGTACAAGCTGGGCAGGCCCAGTTCGAATTCAAATTTACTACAGCCCAGAGTGAATCCAAAGCATTTCACATATTTTTGGACTTTACTTCAATAATCTGTAAACAAATTGCAAATCAAAATATGTATTGCGAAATCCAGTTTATTGCGAAAATGTGCGGGAAAAAAATTATATATTATGCATTGTTGAAAGTATTTGACCCAGCAAATTCAAATTTGCAAAAATAATTACAAGATTTGCTAAGTATAAGTGTGTACAAAAGAAAAACTGCTGAAGAGCAAATTTACTTCCCCCCCCCCTGTAGGATTAGGCTCAATAATTAACTGATTTCAAATTTTTTTCAACAAATTAGTAATGCTCTTTTTATAATCATAATAATACAGTTAATTGGTCTTTATAGAACTGATAAATACATTTGGTATTGATCCAAACCATTTTCGTGAACACTCTCTTCAAAAATGTTTTTGTATTGTTTATTAGTCCATGTACCTAGAAGATTGCAGTAATGTGATATTAGAAAAGGGTTTTCATGTAAACGTTTTCTAACAGTATATATGGAGAAAAACAGACAATACCCAGTTTGCCAAATCACGCGCAATTAGAGCTCCTAATTTTAGGAAATTTTGCGACAACAGAGCAACTTGATTTAAGCTGTCTGAGCATAAAAAGCGCGTAAATTTCGTGCAATTTATGACGTCAGCTGTGCAAAGTGAATTGTTAGTTAAAACATTAAAAAAAATTCCCTTTTAGAGTAAAATGTTTTTGAATTATTTAGGCTTCAGTCTAATATTCTTCTTTACTACGAGTCAAGGTATTATATTTCTAATAAGGAGTCTGAGAAAAATGGGAATTAATTAACAACATGACTGTGAGATTTAGGCTTCAAGTAGGGTTTCCAATCGGAATTCTGTTGCGCGGAATTGCGCGCAATGATTGCTTCCAATTGCGCCATTTTATTGCGTGGAATTGCAAACTATGAAGCAATTAAATATTTGCGGAATTGCGTGAAATTGCGTAAAATTATTCTAAATTGCGTGGATTTGCTTTGCAAAGGCTTTTTCATCTAAAAATCAATACTTTTGAACTGTGGTTTACACATTTATGCAGCAGATACAAGAATAGAAATAGATAGAAGATATCTTTGTCGATTTAAAAATAATCCAGATTCCCGGGTCACTCGAACATTTTTCTTTAATTCTAAAATCTTAAAGTTTTTTGTGGTTAAGCTCCTTATTAACAATTTAATATGTAACATTTTTGGTTAAAACTGTAAGATTTATTTAGTTAAAATTAGATATTTTGGTACAGTGAGAACCAGAAAACCATTTGAGCGGCCATATTTGAGCCTTAACTTTGTCAGGGTAGATTTGATCCAATCATATTATAAAAATTATTTTCTTATTCTTCAATATGTAGATTGTTAACACTTATTTGTCATCTTAACTTATGACTTACTTTCATGTACAGGGTGTTGTAGTAAATATTAGGATTCTCCTGTATTTTTGACACCCTGTGCACAACAATTTCACTTGGCGTCCCGTCCCGTCTTGCCTCATATTGTCTGTGCATGTACTGTACTGCGTGCTCTAGCAGGTTAAAAGTTGGCCCGGTGCTTTAAATGAGCTGGAGTTGTTAGTTTGTTCAAATAAAACTTTAAGTTTAGGCGTAAAGATTTTATGTTGGCAGTGCCATGAACCCGTAACAGATAGATTATTCAGGTATTTTATAATTAAAGGGACTGAACCCGTAACAGATAGATTATTCAGGTATTTTATAATTAAAGAGACTGAACCCGTAACAGATAGATTATTCAGGTATATTATAATAAAAGAGACTGAACCCGTAACAGATAGATTATTCAGGTATTTTATAATAAAAGAGACTGAACCCGTAACAGATGGATTATTCAGGTATTTTTTTATTAAAGAGACTGAACCCATAACAGATAGATTATTTATGTATTTTACAATTAAAGGGACTGAACCCGTAACAGATAGATTATTTATGTATTTTACAATTAAAGGGACTGAACCCGTAACAGATAGATTATTCAGGTATTTTACAATTAAAGGGATGGAACCCGTAACAGATAGATTATTCAGGTATTTTACAATTAAAGGGATTGAACCTGTAAAAGATAGATTATTCAGGTACTTTACAACTAAAGGGACTGAACCCGTAACAGACAGATTATTTATGTATTTTACAATTAAACAGATTATTTATGTATTTTACAATTAAAGGGATGGAACCCGTAACAGACAGATTATTTATGAATTTTACAATTAAAGGGATGGAACCCGTAACAGACAGATTATTTATGTATTTTACAATTAAAGGGATGGAACCCGTAACAGACAGATTATTTATGTATTTTACAATTAAAGGGATGGAACCCGTAACAGTTGAAGGGTAAAATAATACTGTGGAGGGTTGCTTCAAGTTGAAACTAATTAAAAAACCCTTCTTTTTAAGGCGGGGGAGCTGGAATGGGGGTGGTGGGGGGCAGGGTCCTTGGAATATTTCTATGAGTGCATAAGCCCAGCTAGTTATGCAATTGTCTTTTTGAAGAAAAACATTTCTATCGTTTTTGTTAAATGCTTAAGAAATGTTGAATTGGCTAAAACGTAAGCTGGTTAAGAAGTACAGAGCAAATTTGTTTAATTGTAAATTTTCTTTTTCCTTTATATAAAAAATATTTTTACTTTATAACATTTTCTTAGAAATATTTTTCTAAAATGGGGGTTTAGTGATTTTTCCTACTGATATATGAGACTTTGATACAAGAAAAACACACATAGTAATAATAAGATGTAATTAATATATACATACAACTAGAACCTCATATTCTGGTGTAGTGTCCAGTGTTGCCTAATATAGTCTGGATATGTACACTGGCTTGCTAGCTAATTAAAAGACGGCCTGGTACTTGAACCGGAGTTTAAAACTACAATTTACGTCACTAATTTTGGATATAGTTTCTCATTCTTTTTATTCTCAGTCGAACCGCAATAATGACGAAGGACCAAATCAAGGAAAGAGCTGGTAATATAGGTGGGGTAAAAAACCGGAAAACATAGAAAAAATGTTAAATAAAAATTTGTAAACTATATAATGATGTTCAGATTACAAGGAACGAGCAAGTATGATAGGTAAGAAATGTTTTTATGAAACTAATTTTGAAAAAAATTGAATTTAAAAAACAATTAAAAAAATTCAGGGTACCCCTTAGTTTCAGAAATTTGGTCTAACCCTTTGGCCTGCTATAGCTAACATATACATATTTTTTTAAATTTTAGTTTATGTAAGCAAATTAAATAGATGATGGTCAAAGCACGTCCGCACACGCGGTCAGAGTTCTTGTTGTACTTTACTTTATTTTCCTAGACTACACTCTAGTTTTCCAATGTTCTTCCCAGTGCTTCAATTTTCCATCATTTTCGGATGTCCCGATAACCACCAATATATTTTCGGTTCTGGATTTATATTTTGCTTTTCTGTTTGCATTTAATAGGAATCCTGAGTTCTGACTCATTATACAGCTGATCAGACTGTTTTAAATCAGAAGGGAGGGATGGAGAGGGACTGGGTGGGTGTACTTTTTTATCTTCTTTATTTCTTGGATGTTTTCAACCAATTCTGTTGACGTCAAGGTAAAGATAATTTGGAGGAGTTGGAAGTTTGGAATAGGCTAGGAGGAGGCGTATTGAGGAATTTTTTATTGCTGAAAAAAAGCCAACTTGTTCCTCGATTTATAGTCATTTCTGACTTGTGTGGAATTGATGAACTCATATTGTTTTGCATCACATTATGCATATAAGTACAAATATCCTTTTTATACCCAACTCTAGATAAGATCTTCCTTACCAATCCATTCTTAAGTGCAGGATAAGTAAAAACCCGATATCAGCGTGTACTTTATCCTGATTTTTAAGTTTCTATATTCCTTCTTTTAGCTGAGATGTTGAGCCAGAGAAAAGCTGAAGATGAAATTTTACAATTATTTCCTTTAATCCTTTATCTTGTCTGGGATGAATTGCTAATTTTACTCAACGCTTAAGCTGCACCCAATCCTGGGACCGCTTTCATACCTGCTCCTGCAGCTCCGTTTCACGAAGAAGGAACTTGGGAGAATCTTTCCTATGAGCGAGAAGGATACGATTGATAAATATATAAATATATAAATATATATCTGAGGGAAGAGCTTTATTATATAGACGATATCTTATTATCATTAATTTATTTTTGTTATCTTAAATACACTAATAATAGTTTTCAAAATATATGTACTGTAGTGTACGTGTACTGTTTTGTACTGTACTGTGCGACGTTTATTTTCTAATTTTAACCCTATTCCCACTGAATTCAGGTTAACCCAAAATAGACAGTGGGGGGGGCATCTAAATAGAGATTTAGTCTGGTATAGTTAAAGTAAAGTATTCAAACAGTATGCCTGAGAAATTAGGCACTAGGTTTAAAAGCCCAGCTTTTAGTCTTAATCTAGGGGCATGTGTCATATTTTTCAGAAAATTTGAGATTCCTAACTCAAGGGGGGGGGGAGTGTATATCGACCCCCTTAGTCGGAAAAGGTTTAGGGGCTTCCTGTTTATTTAGGGGATGCCAGTGATGTTGGTCCTGAAAGTGCAGAAGGCCTTCTTCTTGGCTTTTGCAGGAACAGCTCAGGGAATAATTAAACAATTTTAATGGACTGTATGCGTCATTTCAAGTGACCCTACAAGCCCGATTCACAACGATACCTGACCAGCTTCAATAATTTGGAAGATACTGTCGTTTTTCTATGCTAAAAAGGTGTTTTCTATGCTAAAAAGGTGTTTTCTATGCTAAAAAGGTGTTTTCTATGCTAAAAAGGTGTTTTCTATGCTAAAAAGGTGTTTAAATCTGATCATTTCTATGTGATTCACTGCATTGTTAAAATGAAGCTTTTAAGGGCACCGTTGTGAATCAATATTGTCTTCTTTGCCATAGAGGGTCATTGAAAATGCGCTTTCAGTCCCTTAAAGAGAAAAAAAAATACTTTTAAGATTTGATTTATTTAGTTTTCAACTTGTTTAGATCTTGGAGAAAAAATTGAATGCCCTCACCAGTTCGGAAGGTTATGCTAATTTTAGGGGTTATCACTAATCAAGAAGCATTAATTTTTGCGATATTTCAAAGTACTGTCAACATTGTCTAATGTACCCCCTCCCCCCCGCATACCCCAGTACATCCCAGTACCCCACAGCACCCCACAGTACCCCAAACTACCCCGCAGTACCCAACAGTATCCTGCAGATATGGGGATTACAAATTGGCGTGGTTGCCATCCCTCCCTCCATTAAGTGATCAGCTGATTAGTATTAAACTAGCTTTTTTATCCATAAAAATAGTGGAAAACTATAAAGAAAATATGCTTAGCAGTGCTTCTGACTCTACATATATATTATTATTAAAAATAAAAAATTCTGTTTGGTTTCTGTACCCCCTCCCCCCAGTATACCCCAGTAAAGCCCAGTACTTTGCAGTGCATTGTAGTATCCTGTACCCTGAAGCACTCTGTATACCCTGTTACCATCACTTTCCATAAAAAGATTTGGGAATTACAAATTGGTGTTTTTGCCATTCCTCCTTCCAATTAATCATCAGATGTTTAGCTTTAAACCATCTAAACATAATCTCTTTTATATGTTTTACACAAGTGAAAATTATGCAAAACTAGAGTAAAGTGCAACCCAGAAAAGCTTCTATAGAAGTTCTAAATATTTTTGTTCAAAATAAAAATTCTATTTGGTTTGGCAACTTTTTTCTACAGAATCTTTCCTACTCTGAAAGGTTTCACATCGATATGGTTAAGGATATCTACTCGAAATAAAGCAATATTTATTAATACTTATTTTAACTCTAACTCTGAACTAAATGAATATACAGTGATCCCCTTAATGACGAATACATCGAAAAAATTCATCAAATGTCGTATTATTCACTTTCTGATAATGGAATGTTGCAGATATTTAGTTTTTTTATTAAATGATTATTTGGAACTCTTTAAAACTGTTCCCGCATATTCATGGCTATTTATTTATTTTCGCAAATACTGAAATTTACGTAATATAGTATAAAACTCATTGAAAAATTGTCAAGACGACATTTGATAAATTCTTCCGATGTATTCGTTATTAAGGGTTTCACTGTAGTAAAAATATGCCGGTTTAAGAAAGTTTTAGATAGATATTTGCAATCATCCAGAACAAAAAGTTTTATCAAGATTAAACTTTTTTAGGTTTATGGGACGTTTTCAAAAAAATGCAAAAAAAATCATTTCTGACACCCCTAGGCTTAGTACGTCAATATGATTCACCAAATCCATACTGCAGTCCTTCAATTTACATACAGGGAAATTTTCATCTTTCTAAACATCCCAGGGAAAGATTTGACAGGTTCTTTCAAAATACTGTCAACATTACTTGTCTAATTTTTGCAAAATTTCAAAATACTGTCAACATTGTCTAATTTACGACAATTAAACTCAAATTATGATTTAAAAATTCCAATGAATATGAAACACAACAATTGTGTAGTTAATACAGGTCCATTTTCAAGCTACACTGTTAGAAATGCCATTTTGTAAATTTTCAATATCATCATATTTCAGGCCAATATATCCAGTATATAGAAGACATTCATTGATATATCGTTTGAAATTTGATGTTTTCTGGTCAGAATGATTTTACTTGAATTAGCCTAAACACTAGTTGATATAAGTAAAATTAGAATCACATCAAATTTTTAAATGAGAATTGAGAGAAAGCAATGTCAGTACTATTCAAGATACTTTAAATACATACATTATTGATCTCTCTTAGAATTTACTTGAAGAGAGTCAAATTCTAATTGAAGTAAGCAGAATTCTGGTTAATGCAGAATCCAAGTAGTATTCTGATTGAATTGAGTGCCGGTACGTGTCTGAACGCCGGATCACTGTAATTAAAGTAAGCAGGATTATGCTTGCTTCGATTTCTGATGATTGAAGTAAGTAGAATTCAAGTGAATGTAATTTGAATTTAGCGTACAGGCCGTTAATTTATATCAAGCAGAATTATCGTTGATATATTACAACGGATCTTCATGGCTTGGTGCGTGAACTAAATACTGTTGATTGTAAGCGGGTTTTTCTAACAGTGTACTTTATAACAGCATCAAATACTAATAAAATTGCTAAAATGTCTTCTCCATATTTAAATATTCAAAAAATATTCAATAAAATCGCTAATATAATAATTTAGCAAGTGACGTTGAAATTAAAAATAATTGAAGAAAGACGACATTTACTTTAATCTCTCTGATTTAGATGTTACTACGGCAATGTGACCTTTAGGTTTCCTGGTGATGATATAGCTGAACCATAGTAAGCACAAAATATAACTACAGAGTATTCCACGACTTGAAGGTCGTCTTTGTACGTTGAACAAATTTGCAATATTTGTTCGTAGAGCTCTCCTACAAGCTTATATTAATCTTGTTTTTTGTTTAGTTGGATACGAGGCTGCGGGGGGGCTAAACCAACAAGTAAGTATGAGGATTTAAGAAGCACTTTTTAAACTCAAGCTAGAAACACAATTTTAAAATGTATTTGTTCAAGGTTGGTCAGGTAAAGCCAAGGCCAAGACGTACACTGTTATTTAAAGGTCTCATAATCTCAAGCAAAAATAGATGAGAATTTTGCGAGTTCAAAGTCGACCCTGTCCTAAAAATTGATGAGACTGTTTCTAAGCAGTAGCAGCCTGAATTCATGTGCGCGTTTCGACACTTTGATGATTATCCTTCAGAGTTTTTAAGATATCAATTATTATTGTAGATTTATTTCGTACACAAAGGTAAAATGGTACAATATGATAAGACAAAAACAAGAATAAAGTATAATATATAAGTATAGTTTCTAGTTGGAACATGTACTCCATTTAATCTTTTTAACCAAGTTAAAAACATTATGCCGATTTCTCCAATCAAAATTAGAGTCAAACTGGTCCAGCGGTCCCTGAGTTATGATCAGACTACAAACAGAGATTACTGCTTTATTTAGAAAATTACAGAATTATATTATGTATTGAGATATTTTATAAATTAGATTTCATAGATTGAAAAAAGTATATTGTTATTATTTTTATTATTATTATTATTATTATTGTTTTTATTATTATTATTATTGTTATTATTATTATTATCATTATTATTATTGCAAGGTCAAGTCCAGGTCCACGGGAGCACCTATCTAAAAGAATATATTCCTGATTCAAGTGGAGATAAATACTTTGCTAAAGGTAAAGATTTTGCGATTTAAAAAAAATAGAAAGATTAAATCTTTTATATTTTTCAGAGGGTATTTGTGAGAAGCTGCCTCATCCGGTATATTTTTAGTAAATAGTACAGTTAAACCCTTTAACCATTATATTTTTAGTAAATAGTACAGTTGAACCCTTTTACCGGTATACTTTTAGTAAATAGTACAGTTGAACCCTTTAACTGGTATATTTTTAGTAAATAGTACAGTTGAACCCTTTAACCTGTATATTTTTAGTAAATAGTACCGTTGAACCCTTTAACTGGTATATTTTTAGTAAATAGTACAGTTGAACCCTTTAACCTGTATATTTTTAGTAAATAGTACAGTTGTACCCTTTAACCGGTTTTTTTAAGTAAATAGTACAGTTGTACCCTTTAACCGGTATATTTTAAGTAAATAGTACAGTTGTACCCTTTAACCGGTATATTTTTAGTAAATAGTACAGTTGAACCCTTTAACCGGTTTTTTTTAAGTAAATAGTACAGTTGTACCCTTTAACCGGTATATTTTAAGTAAATAGTACAGTTGTACCCTTTACCCGGTATATTTTAAGTAAATAGTTCAGTTTTACCCTTTACCCGGTATATTTTAAGTAAATAGTTCAGTTGATCGTACCCTTTAACCCTTATGTTATTAGTAAATAGTACAGTTGAACCCTTTAACCTATGGGAATAGGAAAACGACAACTTTTCTACTTAAGATAGGATTTTAACCAGTCAAACTGTCAATCAGTCAGTCAGTCAGTCAGACAGTCAGTCAGTCAGTCAGTCAGTCAGACAGTCAGTCAGTCAGTCAATCAGTCAGTCAGTCAGTGGTCTCCAATAATACTTCAAATGATGTAAAAATTCCCCTGAATTGTTTTAGAAAATGTCTTTTCTTTGTCCAGTGTGTTTTTATTGTTAGTGTAAATGTTTGCCAGGATAAAAAGAAAAACAGTCCGGGGGACATTGGTTAAACATTTACACTTTAACCTCTCTCTTTAATCTTTATTCTTTACTAGCTTTGGAACTCAGCGTTGCCCACTCCCAAGGTTCTCCTGCCGTTTACCCGCACTTGGTCGTAAATTATGATTATAACTTCTTTCCCCGAATAATGACGACACATATTCAACTTAAAATCTCAAAACCAAGCTAAGTAAATTTCCGTGGTTCTCCAGAGTTTCCCAATCAAAATTTGAGGCAAATAGGTAAAGGGGTTCCAGAGTTATGATTGGACAAACAAACAGACAGACAAACAGAGATTACAAGTTTATATATATAGATTATTTAACTGAAAAATCAAATAGGATAAAAATGAATCATAATTGTTTAAAATTATCAAGTTCATTACCATCACTCCGGCTACTGTAAAGTACTGTTCCGAATTTTAAGCAGCCAGAGCAAGCTGTACAGTAAATACATACCACAAAAATGCGAAACGGGACGGTACACCAAAGTAACCATCCCCTTCAAGAACAATCTATGTACCATGGCTGTTCCAAACTGATAAATAGATATATATGTATACAGGGGGAGTAAAAAAAAGTGGGATTAGCGGCGTCTGATGCAAAATTGTACCTTTATTTGTACGACTCTCCTGTATGGTATTTTTTCAATATTTTTTAAAATTTATTTATTTATTTTGGTTCTCAATGGTAAACAAAAAAAATCCGCGAAACTTTTTTTTCTCAAAATTTAAATTTCAGAAAAGCTAAAATGTGTATATATATTATTTCCATCAAATTCTAGAATTTTTTAAAGATTGAATTACAGAATCACAGAAAATTTGCAATTTTCAGTTCTGATATAATTTTCCAGAAAAAGTTGTTTAAATCCTCTTCTTATTAGTTTATTAATATCCGCTGTTCAGTTGAAAAATGAGGAGCTATGGAGAAAAAAAATGTTAATTCCGCTTTTAATTTCAGTGGTTTCCAGATATTACAAGATTTTTCTTTGGCAACCTATCTCGGGACCCAACCTACGAACATATTAAAGATCACAGTAAGATTTTAAACATTTCTGGTGATTAACACAAAAATTAAACATCATTTAAATAGTATTGAGTTGTGGAATTTTTTTCACAAAATAAATAATAGAAATAAATCATTCCATGCATTCAGTATTCACATTTGATGAGATCCAACCCAAAATTCTAGAACTCGAAGCTGTAAACTTTTAAATGTCGTCTTTTTGTTCAAAGTTGTCTTTTTTCCCCACTGCGATAATTACACGATTTCATCTGGTGGTACAAAATTACATTGTTTTACATTTTGTGCTCAAAGTAGTAGATATGTAATTTATTTTATGTAAAAATAAAGATATAAATCAATGCAATCTACAATTTTTTATACAATGGTTGTAAATGAAAAGATTATCAGTATATATTCATTTTGTCCATTCTCAACATGAAACATAAGTATTGTGACAAAAAACAGTCAGCCCCATGACCCCCTAAAATACCCCACTGTGGGGGGGGGGGGTTGGAGGGAAAAAGGGGGAAATAAAAACAATATCTTTAAAATTTGGTCTGGTACCCTCCTCCCTCCCACCACCATCTACCCACTTTATGTATTATATCAATCATTCACATTGGTTTCTAACATTCTCAAGTAGAAATAATAGTTTGTTAAATATATGCTATATATACAGGGTTTCCAAAAAGAATGAGACTTCAGAGACGACTTACGGAATTTATATTGTCTGCTTCATTCTTCTATTGATTTCCTGCAATCATACACTTATTTTTTTCCTTAGCCAAATCATTATTAAAAGCCTTAATTATAATTTGAAGAGTTCAAATCGTCTTTACAGTGTCATTATTTCTGGGTAACTCTGATTATTGGTTACCAGAATAATTAAAACACAAACAATTTTTTTTTCTATGACGAATTTAATCATATTTTGAGTGACAGCAATTATCAAAAATGTCCAAATTAGGAATTTCCCAAAAACCCAGGCATTTGGGTAATTTCAAAATTCTTACAATTAGACCAGCATCAGATCCCAACAGGAATTTTGGGAATCTGAGGCATTTGGGGAAATTTCCAGATTCTCAAATTCTTAAAGGAATTTAATAAAATCTGGCGATTTTCTCAAATATCTTGGATTCTGGGGAATTACCCGAATTCATTTGAGAATCTGAATGTGGTTTATTTTTCAATGTTAGGAAAATTCTCAAATGTCTAGCTATTTAGGAAATTTCCCTGATACCCTGGCATTGGGGGATTTCCCATAAACCTAGCCATTTGGGGAATTTCTTTATTTTACAAATAGACCACCATCAGATTCCAACAGGAATTTGGGGAATCTGAGGAATTTCCCAAAAACCCAGGCATTTGGGAAATTCCCCAGATACCCAGATATTTCCTCAAATACTTGGGATTCTGAGAAATTCACCATATATCTTGGAATCTCGAACCATCCCCAGATTCCTTGGATAATCTGTGGTTGGTTTATTTTTCAATTATAGGAAACTTCTGAAATGCCTAGCTAGCTATTGGGGAAATTTCCAAATCTTTAAAAAATACCCCTCTCAAATTCCTATAGGAGAATCCCTCAAATACCTGGATACATGGGAAATTTCCCAAATACCTGGAAATCTGGGGAATGCCCCAAATTGCTAATTTCTTCAAAATTCTAATTGCTGTCGGGTCATGCATATTTTAAAGTTTTTATCTTATTTAAAGACTTTTTGATATGTTTTTTATTGAAGTTTTCATTATTTTTTAAAATTTTTATTATTTGAGGTAACTTTTCATTATAAATGTTTGATTAGTTAAATGAAAAATGTATATTTTCAGAATCTGGATTACGGAGTTTGCGTGAGTATCTTTTCTGCATTGCGTTTTATTTTTCATATTTCGGAAATAAAATCTTTCCAAATTTTTTTTTTTTCAGAGGGTGAAATCTGTCTTTGCAACAGGGTAAGGTTAAAAATTCTTTACTTGACCAAAAAAACTATCAACTAGCTTCGTCTGATCAAGTATGAATTAGATGCGAATATTTTTGCTTCTTTCAGCTGTTTATTTTTATCTTGCTTATACGATGCAATCGAGAAATTCACAGACATAGACACTGAGCTAGAAAAACGGCGTTATCTCCCACATTTTTATCTAATTGTTTCAAGGTTGTATATTTTGTAAATTTCTATCTTCGCCTGGACGGTCACTTGAAATTTCTTTTTCAGTTCCTTTAAGCATAGAACATTTTAAAATCTGATTTTCAATCTAAAAAAGTAAAAGTAAATGTTTTAATCACTATATCTTTGCAACCTGTGATATTTCGAATTTAGACGAAATAAAATTTAAAATTTTATCAAAGGTTCCAAAGATTTAGCAATTAAAAATTGATGTTTGTGGCAAAAATATATTTTCTTTTGCCAGTTATGCTAACACAAATTTTCTTCTGCTAATTTTACAAGTAAAACTTTCAAAGAATTTTCGGAAAAATTAGGTCAGAACTTCTGTTATCTTTATGCTTTAGTTTAAAAGTACCCATGGGCCACATTGGATATCGAGATCAAACGTTCAAAATTAAGGATTCTCCAGATCTCTGAATTTTAAAAAGTAATCTATGAAGTATGGAGAATTTGAATCTCAGTATTTAAAAAAAAAATGTTTTTTACAACTTTTACAAAAAAAATTAATAATTCTAATTTCAGATCATTAATTCCATTTTTAGGAATTTTGCAATGGCTCTGATGGATTAAAAAGTGTTACTGTATTTATGTATGTTATTTTTCTTTGTGTAGTTTATTAATAAAAATATAAAAAAGTTTAAAACAAAGGAAAAAATTGATAAATTAAACACATATTAAATTATTTTTTTTTAACTATGAATTTTTTATCTGTGGAACTGAAAAATGTCGAATAAATGATGAATAAAAAGAGAGCTTTCGGTGCGTTCTGCAGTAGTTTGAAGTACACTGACCACGCTTACCTAAGATATAATAGCGTTTAGTGGTCAGTGATCAAGGAGTATGGAATAGAAGGGAGATACAACTTACGTGGGCCGCCCTACCATATGATTTTACATGCTTTGCAGACGAGCACTCCATTTGTATAAGAAATATTCAGGATAGGTTTTTGTATACGCGGTAATTGTACTTCAGACAAATATTTTTTTTATTCAAATGAAGTACCGTCTCTAAAGCATGTATAATCATATGGTAGGGAGGGCCGCGTCAGTTATATCTCCCTTCTATTTCAGACATGTATCTACATACCTCTCTTTATAACTATCTATTAATCAATCTATCTTTATCACTATCTATCTATTCATCTATCTAAATATCTATATATCTTCCCATTGAGAATAAATGAGTTCATTTCCAAGTGAGAAACTCGGAGTTTCGAAACAATTCTTGGTGGAATTGGGTTGAATTATCTTTATCAATATCCGTCCTTTAAACAGACATACTATACAGGGGGACCACAAAAACACAAAATTTTAGTCAACAAATTTGTTGAATTTAATAAATTGTCTGGGAAATTTGACCTAGTAACCCACAAAGCCACTTAATTCCGATTCGACATTATGGAACTAATTCAGTATTTTAATCCTTTAATCTATGTATAGCCCCCCCCTCCCCCCCTCCTAGAAAAAGGCCTTAATAAAACGTCACACTTTAGCACAGGACTTTATTCAGTAAATTTTAACATCGATGTAGAAAAGTTAAAACCTGCAAAAAAATACAATAAATTACATAGTAAGGATAAAAGAAAAATAATTGAATATGAAGAAGTTTTTTCTTTAAAGCAATTCAAAATAGGAAGAATTTTATATCAAAAATAATGAACTTGTTTACATTAGCCGAAAAAAGCCATAAAAGTAGAGGTTTCTAGACATGTAGTCCAGTGTGAATGATGGCTTACATAATTCTGAAATATTGTAGGTTATAATCGAAATCAAACAATTTTAAAACATGTTTAACTAACTATGCAGTTCACTGTTCTGTTTAATAATGAGTGAATGAATGTTCACATGTTTAAAATACCCATACAGTGGATGTTAGGTTTACACCGGAAGACCCAGGTAGTTAAGATTGAAGAAGGACGACATTCCTTTAATATTTTAACAATAGGGTTGTAATTGCAATTTTTATAGATGATAGTGTCATAAATAAGAGTGCTAGGACAAAAAAAAGCTAAAGGAGAGTCGGGGTTTTTTAGGGTTAAAAATGAGAATTTGCTTTCTTGCCTTGAAAAATCTTACACTAATGATACTAAACTGAATTTTTTTGGTATTTTTTCTAAAAAACCATTTCGAATAAGAACTTTTCTCTTGCGTGGCTAAATTTTGGGATATTTTATTTTAAACATATTAAACATATTGGGCAGAATATTAAATTCAAACTTAATTTTTTATAAATGTCGTGATTTGTTGGTTACCCTTTAACTATCGCCAAGTGATCTAGGAATTTTGTATGTTATGTTATCTTTGGAAAATATTTAAAAATATTTATTTTCCTGCTTTTTCTTCTTACTGTTTCCTCATGGTTCTGTAATTTGTTGTTCTAGCTGTCTTCTGTAGTTCCTGTTTCTGTTTCACTCGTTATTTTCCTGTTTATTCAGTTTATTTTTCTATTTTTATTGCTTTCTAGTTCCAGTTCCTTTTTTTAATCCGTGTTTCTGTGTTCTCTAGGTTCTTTTCTATTTTATCCAGTTACTTTCCTGTTTCATATAGTTTTTCTTCCTGTATTCTGTAGTTCCTTTCCAGTTTTTCTAATTCCTGTTTCAGTTTGAAGCTTCTGTTTCTCTTTACTTTATTTTTGTTTCTGCTTTCTAAAGTTACTGTTTTTTTCTCTTGGTCATTTTTTCCCTGTTTTATTTGGTTACTGTTTTTTCCAGTTTCTGTTCTTTAAGTCCTGTTCTTTTTTCTTGTCCTGTTTCAGTACTATTTTGGTCCTCTCCTTTACTGTTTCCTTTAGTATTCTTTTTCTATTTTTCTAGCTCCTGTTTCTGTTTGTCTAGCTTCTGTTTCTGTTTATCTAGTTTTTTCCTGTTAAACTAGATCCTTTTTCTTTTTCTATTTTCTTTTTCTGTTTTTCTAGCTCCTGTTTCTGTTTATCTAGCTCCTGTTTCTGTTTATCTAGCTTCTGTTTCTGTTTATCTAGCTCCTGTTTCTGTTTTTCTAGCCCCTGCTTCTGTTAATATAGCTCTTGTTTTTGCTAATATTGCTACTGTTACTGTTTTACTACCTCCTGTTTCTTTTTTCTGTTTCTGTTCATCTAGTTTTTTCCTGTTTATATATCCCCTGTTTTTGTTTATCTAGCTCCTGTTTCTGTTTTATTAGCTCCTGTTTCTGATTTTCTAGTTTCTTTTTCTGTTTATCTAGCTCCTTTTTCTGGTTTTATAGCTCCTGTTTCTGTTTATCCAACTCTTGGTTCTGTTATTTTAGCTCCTTTTTTTGTTTATCTGGCTCATGTTTCTGTTTATCTATCTCCTATTTCTGTTTTTCTATCTCCTATTTCTGTTTATCTAGCTCCTATTCATCTTTGTTTAGCTCCTGTTTCTGTTTGTCTTATACCTGTTTCTCCGAACATTACCCTCTGTATGTACAGTGAATGAACTATGATTATGTATATTTAAACTATATATATCTATTCTGATATCTAAGGGTACTATACACCACCAGGGCAGCTGTCTTTTTATCAGACTATATCATCATGTTTGGGAGGGGGAGGGGGTAAGGCTACCACATCAATTACATACATTTATCAATATATTTTTATATTTCCAGAATATAATTTTTGCAAAATGCATACGCAAAATGTTTAACAAAAGCTTCCGAAAAAGAGCAAAATACAACCATTTTAAAATTTACAATTATTCAATTGGTTTTTAAAGATCACCTTGCATAAAAACCGAATGTGACACAATAACAGATATATATATATTATAAATCTCTGTCTAGTTACACCGCTTCAGATTAAAACACTCCATTCATTTGAACAGTTTAAACACCATTCAAATCAATCACTCAATCAATCAATCAATCAAAGATGCAGTGAACCATATTCAACGCATGTCTAACTACCAATTTAAAATTCCTGGGATGTAAAAAAATTTCACACAAATTTTGTATATTGTAAAATTATTAAAATTAGGTTTGTAAGAAATTAAACTTAAACTTCTTTTTTCCATTTCTTCTATCTAGGAGCGTTTTTACGAAGATCTCAATTTTCGCTCAAAAATCTATCATTTTGTCAATCAGTAATTTGAAAATGAAGCTACAAGCGATTTCCATATGTAGTTCTAAATTGTATATGTTTAGAGCGAATTCTAAGAACCGTAAATTCAAAGGCGAAGGCGTTGCGACACTTCAAAGTCTGCCATGTCTTGAAATTGATTCTCAATTTTTATTGTTGATGTTTATTCTAATAATGTTTTCCTAAAATAAGAGAACCGGATCCTTTTAGCCGGAGAACCGGATCTGTTCAGCCGGAGAACCAGATCCGTTTAGCCGAAGAACCAGATCCGTTTAGTCAGAGAACCGTATCCATTTAGCCGGAGAACCGGTTCCGTTTAGCCAGAGAACTGGATCGGTTTATCTGGAGAACCGGATCCGTTTAGACAGAAAACTGGTTCCGTTTAGCCGGAGAATTGGTTTCGTTTGGCTGAAGAACCGGATCCGTTTAGCCAGAAAACCGGATTTGTTTAGCCGAAGAACTGGTTCCATTTGGCTGGAAAACAGGATCCTTTTAGCCGGAGAACTGGTTCCGTTTAGCTGAAGAACCGGGTTTGTTTAGCCAGAGAACCGGATCCGTTTAGCCAGAGAACCGGATCCGTTTAGCCGATACGACAACAATTAAGACTGTGAACAAACCCCCAATATTTTGGTAATATCTAACAATGAAATCCTAAACATAGTCTAACCTCACCTACTCACATATACTTTTTTGAAGCACTAGACTTTTCAATTTAATTTTCTAGCTTAAGTTTATTTGCAGCAACAAAAATCTTTTCGAAATTATGAACGTTTATTTTATCAAAATATTGAATATGTAAAAATGTGTTATAAATTTTTAACATTTGTTCGTCATCTCGAACCAAATGTTCGAAATGTTTGAGGTAGTTTGATATTTCGATCCAAATATACGTTGCAATTCACATGAGGTATAGTAAAAAATTATACATTTTAAATTGCAAACCAATTGTAGGGTGTTCATAAACCATAAAATACATTCTTTGTGTCTTTCTCTCAGTTTTATAAAAATACTCGCGTCAATCCATTTTATAATTTAAATTTATTTTATCCTTTGTCAATCTTAGATCTGTCTATTATAATTCTTTATACACTGTGTTTATTTTATATAAAAATTATAAATAAAGTCAAGTCTTTTTTATCCAATAAATGTTCAAAACGGCTGAAACAATTGGGCCCAAAATTATCAATATATCTAGCTATCTATCTCTCTATCTATGTATCCTTATATAAATCTAAATTTATTCATTTAACTCTATTTATCTATCAATCTGTCTTTATGGTCTTTATATCTATCTATCTATATATATATATATATATGCATCTATCTAACTATCTATCAATCTATCTTTCTATTTATATATCTAACTCTATCCATTTCTATATCTACTAGCCTTAGAGGGCGCTTCGCGCCCATCTTCTAAATTAATTGTGAACATGTTCTCTTTGTGTACATCGTAAAACAAAACAAAAATAATTCGCGGATTTTCACAAAAAATTTCGTNCGCACGCCGCCCCCCCCCCTTCCTTTCCCTGGCAATTCATAACTGGACAACTTAAAATCACTTG